CCTTAAATAAGATTTCGTAAAAACGAATTAATATTTCGTAACTACGAATTAATATTTCGGGGAAACGGACAAAAGCCCTCCCGGACAAAAGCCTTCCCGTCAAAAAATGACAAGGCGGACAAAAGCCCTCCCGTGAAAATAACAGAGCGGACAAAAGCCCTCCCATAAAAATGACTGGGCGGACAAAAGCCCTCCCGTGAAAATAACAAGGCGGACAAAGCCCTCCCGTAACAAAAATAAATATGTATGTTGAATATCTGTGTTTTTTTTTTCAATACACTCAACATATTAAAATTGTTACATATATTTCTTGTTGTTTTCAATTGGCCTAAGTATGTGTATGAGCTAGAACCACCTTTTATCCTGAAATGTTTAACGAGGTAACTTTTTACACGAATGTCGTTAAAAACAAAGTCACTTTTAAAAGTAATTGACTCATTACAAGGCACATTATAAATGTCTTTAACTTTTAAGTTAGATGATTTTAACTTCTTTTCATCATTTATTACTCTATTAATATTAACTTCACATAGGAGTAATCCTTCATATCTATGTGAATAAATATGCACTTACAGATTTTATAGCACTAATTATTCAGATGCCTCTCAGGAATGTGCTCAAGCCCATACCATACAAACACGGTTATGCCAATGGAAAACAAAAGTATTCGTGATTACAATTTTAATTTGTTGAGTGCATTGAAAAAAAAAAACTATTCAACGTACATATATGTATTTGCTGCGAGAGGGCTTTTGTCCGCCCTATTATTTTCACGGGAGAGCTTTTGTCCGCCCTGTCATTTTTACGGGAGGGCTTTTGTCCGCCCTGTCATTTTCACGGGATGGCTTTTGTCCGCCTTGTCATTTTCACGGGAGGGCTTTTGTCCGCCTTGTCACTTTTTAACGGGAGAGCTTTTGTCCAGGAGGGCTTTTGTCCTACACTCAATATTTCGTAAAAACGAATTATTATTTCGTAAAAACGAATTATTATTTCGTAAAAACGAATTATTATTTCGTAAAAACGAATTAATATTTCTTACTTACGAATTATTATTTCGTAAAAACTAAACTAAATATATATTTACATGTAATATATTCATACAGTGTTGCCCATTACATGTTCACGTGACTGTTTATTATCATTTATTATTACACATGTATTTGTATCATGTTTTTGTATTGTCAATATTCAAACTGGGATATATATTCAATAAAACTTAAAACTTGAAAATACATTAATTTATAAAACCACAATTTTATTGACATATAAGGTTTTATTTTTTGTTTTTAATACTTTATTTTTACATTTCCTAAACAATTAAGCTGTTTCCAACTGCAATCGTAATGAAAGCCTTGAACTTCTTAGAAGATGACTGATAATATTATAAGTTGTTTTGCTGTCTGACATGTTAAACAATGCCTTCAAAAAATATTGGTTCAATATTTGTTTAGGCAAAGTTTCTTTACTAAAAAACAATAAGATTTGTGACAATGTCTAATTAATATTGTCGACGAAATCCATTATTTCAGCATATCAACCTATCATGTATCAAATAGCGTGCAATAGGAATGCTTCCGGAACAAACAAACAATGTTAAATGAAATATTTCATCATAATTTACTGCAAGTGCAAGATGACCGTTATTTAAACAACATGTCGATACCAAATAAGACATGTCTCTTGTAACATTACATCATCCTTTTAATAAACGTGTTACATGTTAATGCATTTATTATTCATTCATTATTATAGATGAAATCGATATCTATACAAAAATCTACAAACACGCAGTTAAATTTATTATTCGGAAATTTTATTGCTTTATCTATAATTGAATTTAATAGAGAAACTTTTAAGTTTACAACAACAAAATTCTTATTCTCCAATTGACGCTCTTAACCGCAGGCCAAAAAATAATTGAAAATATTATAGAAAATAGGATATAAATGTTGCCCAATCTCCGAATTTAAATCTTACGGAAGGTCAATGCTCTTGTCGGAATTAATGCACGAAGGGGCACCCGAGGTCTTCCCCCACCAGAAAAGCTGGAAAGTAGCTATATGGCATTAACAGTTGGTCGGTGTGATTTAAAACCCCAACAAAATGATGTTCATTTGAATCTAATGCTCATACAGCGGTTCAGCGGATATGATATGAACAAACACGTTATTAAATGATTTACTTAAAACAAGTAATATAACTAAAATACATCGTGTAAATATGTCAGGGACAAGCTTATCAGTATCAGCAATACTTCAAGACAGGAAATAGATGTTCGCACCTCAATCCTATCAAATTCCTTATCCGATTACTCAACAGTTTCTACAGAGTTCGTATTATCATTACATAAAATATGATTTTTCATTATCAACCTAATACATTATTATAGGAAAATAAATCTTTAGAATGATAAGAAAACTTTTCCCCAAGTCAATATGTTCTGAGTCTTAGAAACTCGTTTTTCAAGACATACTGGTATATCTTATTTCACATCTAAAACATATTGTGGTTAACATTTTGGCTGTTTTTGTTTTGTATTAGAATCATGATCTATTTAACGAGCCTCTTTGCTCTTTGAATAGATAAGACAACTGGTTAATTACCCTGCAGTGTCATAGACAGATCTTCTACCTATCAATTTATCTAGTGATCTCTTCTACACTTTCTGTGACAAATGTTAAATATTAGTCTGAAATAATAAAATACGTTTATGATGTGTATATGATGTTCTTGGAATTTTATGGCAGAAAACTATGACACGATTTGTCTGACCCAGTAACACTGATATTTACACAAAACGCGTGTCACTGACAGCCAAATTTGACCAATCAAAAGTCATATCAATGTAGATAATTGACAAAAATAGATTAAACAGTTAAGCAGACACAGGTACGCATTTCGACAGATTAAATTGTTTTTGTTATATTTTTTTCTCTTTATCTTTCTTTTTCTTGTATTACACAGAGTCTTTTAAAATTATTGATACAACTAAACATATCTTTTGATACAACTAAACATATCAATCTAATATATTCATACAGTGTTGCCCTCACATGTTCACGTGACTGTTTATAATCATTTATTATTACACTTGTATTTGTCCTATGTTTTTGTATTTGAAATATGCAATCTTTGATGTAAATTCAATAAAACTTAAAACTTGAAAATACATTAATGGATAGAACCCCAATTTTATTGACATATAAGGTTTTATTTTTGTTTTAAATACCTTAATTTAACATGTTCTAAACAATGATGCTGATTCCAACTGGAATCGTAATGAAAACCTTGAACTTCCGTATAAGTTGTTTTGCTGTTGTTGTTTATTCCCCTTTCTATCCTATGACATGTTTAACAATGCTTCAAAAACAATTGCGTTCAATATTTGTTTTGCGGGTTGTTTTTTTTACTGAAAAACAATAATATTTGTGACAATGTCTAATTCATATTGTCGACGAAATCCATTATTTCAGCATATCAACCATGTATCAAATAGCGTGCAATAGGAATGCTTCCGGAACAAACAAACAATGTTAAATGAAACATTTCATCATAATTTACTACTAGTAATCTCCGCGCCAAGATGACCGTTATTTTAACGACATGTCAATACCAAATGAGAAATGTCTCTTGTAACATTACATCATCCCTTTTTAAATAGACGTTTTACAAAGTAATGCATTTACTATTCATTCAAATATTAGAGATGAAATCGATATCTATACTGAAATCTACAAATACGCAGTTAAATTTATTATTCGGAAATTTTATTGCTTTATCTATAATTTAATTTAATAGAGAGACTTTTAAGTTTACAACAACAAAATTCTTATTCTCCAATTGACGCTCTTAACCGCAGGCCGAAAAAATAATTGAAAATACATATAAATGTTGCCAAATCTCCGAATGCAAGGTCAATGCTCTTGTCGAAATTAATGCACGAAGGTGCACCCGAGGTCTTCCCTCACCAGAAAAGCTGGAAAGTAGCTATATTGCATTTACAGTGAGTTGATCGGTGTGATTTAAAACCCCAACAAAATAAACATGATTTGAATTTCGTGCCAATATGTGGATATGATGAACAAATATGCAATTAAATGATTTACTTTAAACAAGTAATATAACTAAAATACATCGTGTAAATATGTCAGGGACAAGCTTATCAGTATCAGCAATACTTCAAGACAGGAAATAGATGTTCGCACCTCAATCCTATCAAATTCCTTATCCGATTACTCAACAGTTTCTACAGAGTTCGTATTATCATTACATAAAATATGATTTTTCATTATCAACCTAATACATTATTTTAGGCAAATAAATCTTAAGAATGATAAGAAACTTTTTCACGAGTCAATATGTTCTGAATCATTGAAACTCGTTTTTCAAGAGATACTGGTATATGTTATTTCACTTCTAAAACATATTGTGGTTAACATTTTTGGCTGTTTTTGTTTTGTATTAGAATCATGATCTATTTAAAGAGTCTCTTGCTCTTTAAATATATAAGACAAATGTCAATGACATAGTTATCTACCCTGCAGTGTCGTAGTCAGATCTCTATACCTTCAGTTACTAAGTATATGGTAGTGTTCATCCGTGCTGTTCTACAGAAATTAGAACCTTCGACGGGAGCGATAGCGACAGGAGATTGTTTCTAGTTTCTGTAGAACAGCTACGGATGAATACTAACATACTTAGTGGCCTCATTATTGTTCAACATAATACGTGGTTCTACATGTATGAAATGTTATGGAAAATAGAAGGCGACTCTGAACGGAATTCGATATAGTATCGACTTTAGTTCTTCTATGAAAATTAACACACACAATTTTTAAGAAATACAGCGTTTTCATTGTTATTAATTGTACAGCAAGTTGTATAGAAGTCCACAAAATCGCCAAAGCAAGCTAACAGAAAAGCTTTATATTTTCGTATATTTATAGTAGACTGAAATATTTCCTTTAGTGATATTGGTCCGTACATTGATCTAAATATCATACTGAATAATAGGTTACGAATCAAGACATATACAATTCGTGCATTAAAAGAAAACAAATCGGAATGTAAATTGTGCATTGCAAGGGAAACAACTATAACAAACTGACTAATTTCTCAGGACAAAATTATCTGCTTTTATAATAATGTAATATATTGCGGCAAGCCGAAGAAAATTTAATTTAAAAAATGGTGAAAAAGTATGCTCAGTGGCTAAGGTTAAAACTTTTTATAGGTTATTAATGTAAATGAAGAAACGACAAATTGAAACGTGCATTTGATTGGCACTATTTGATTGGCACTATCCAAAAACAACTTGTTAAAGCAACTAACAATCCTTTTCAAAACCGACTACTATTAAAACCGAATTTCCTAGCGACCTGTATTAATAAATATGCTGATACAACATTTTAACTGATGATAAATAAACCACTTGAATAAAAGTGTGGGTATGAAGACATTTCTTGTCGCAATTTTATATGCTATAGAGCCAATCCCAAAGATCTGTGACCAAAAGATAAAGTGTTCTATGTGTCTCACGATATCTAAATATAGCAAATCACTGATGAAAACTTCTCATGCATCATTCTGTCTCTAGGAAACAGTTCGCAATAAATAACGTGTAGAAAATACAATAAATCTATTTTTCTAATCCGTCTCCGTTAAAGAATCTATCAAGTGTAATGATATAACGTATGGTAACATGGGTCTTTGACATATACTATAGTTGTTTTAATATGAACAGTTATAGGCATGGAGATACCGAGCTTTTCGTAGTTGTCACGGAATACCTATATAGGTGGATGCATGGAGGATAGACTATGAATATTTTTGTTCTTATCCTTTAAATATATATCATATGACTTTGCTTAATATGGTACGTATAGCTAGGCATTACAACTTAGTTTGGTTTTGTTAAGAAAGTTTTTTCCAGTCTCAGCGGAACAGGATGACAAATGAGTTTATTTGCATTTTCCCGCCCAATATATATACACGCCGCAGCCGGGATTCGAGCCACGGGTCTCTGGATTGCCGGTCCAGTATGATATCCACTACAGCATACTTGCAGGATACACTTGTCAGCATCAAAAATATAGATAAAGCAAAATGTTCACGTTTATCAAAATAAAAATCGGTTTTAATTTTATTTTAATACAATTAGTTTTGTATTTATCAGTCTAAATTGTGTAGATGTAATAACTAACATAATTGGCTGAAAAAGTCGCAACAGTATACACCGAATGATTGAATGTTTTCACACAAGTAGTAACAAGCGTTTTTATTATTGTGCAAGTAAATCCATTACCGAGAAACTTTACAAGCGCAAACATTTAATCTGTCACAATATAAAACGTTGTTTGCTCACATTGGGAACTGGAAAATCATTCTTCTTTTAGATGATTCATCGTAGATTAGTCAGTGAATGAGAAAATAAAATTTTCAATGGTATATATTGTATTTGTTTAAAACAGTGTGTACAACACTGAAGGTCTTTTTCCACGCATAAACATGTGTAACCCACCTCCTGAAACACAAGACTACCGTTACATGTCAGTTCATCTGAGAACATTTCTATTGTAACCAAATAGCTCAAAATCATAGTCATATATTGTAGCTATATCTGATATCAAACGTTCTGGGATTTTCCTGTATTCGTCAAGCATCATAGATTGTTTCTGTCCTTTTAAGTCAATTCCCTTTTTATTTTGATTTTCTAAGGTTTGAAAGACTAAAATCAAGAATATTTCTGTTGGAGTTTTGAAAAATTCTGGTATTGCTAAGTTATCTTCTGGAAGTTTTGAATCTCGGTGGATATACCCGTTGTATTGGAAGGTCAACCATAATCTCTTAGCTACATCGACTTTGTCAAAACAACCTTTCTGAATACTTGACTCTAATCTAAAGTTATATTTTGTTATCGTAACAATTTCTTCACGAACCAAATCTTGTTTTGTAACATTTTCTTTGAGATGTTCCAGATTGTACTTTGACATTATATAATCTGCATCTAATCCGAACGATTCTTGTCTACCAATGACGTCATACTGCACGTGGCATGGACTACAAAGTCGATGTATTTTGTCCCAATGTTCGTTCAAACCTACTTTATGCGTCATATTGATGAACAAAAGAAATTCATGAAATGTTACATTATTTGCACATTTATCTTCGTATTCAGGCCGATTTCGCCGTACCTTTTTTACGACAGCACGAGCATCAGTTCTCCAGAAATCTGGAAGCAAAAATTTATCAATGTACGCTGACCACAACCTAGAAAAAGGATTACGAACAAACATAAATGATTTCCCGTTAGCCATCAACATCTGGGAAACTGGATTATGCACACTCCACTGTCGAATATTTTTTATATTACCATAATGAACATAACTTCTGTCAATGTCTGAAGGTTTGTTTATATTCTGATTATCCGGATAATCTTTACTCACAAATCGCATGATACGTTTCCAGAATGTACATCCAACCTTTGGAACTATGCAATAATGTATTTGTTCGTACGTCCAAACTCTGCCACCTTGATGAAGATTTTGCCAGTATGGATTTTGCATGTAACCCGAACATGTGTCTCGAATTGACGCTAGTCTATTGCTCATATAGTCATCAAGTTTTGTTGACAAGTGGCTTCTCGGTGGAGCAGAAGTTGAGACTGTCAAATTAGGTTTATACGTTTGAAACCTGTTGATACCTTGGTCGTGCACAGACTTGTTCATCTTGAAAATAAATGCAATAAATATATCAACGATGTAAAAAAAAATACTAACAATTAACTTTATTTATTGCAAATAAATACGAAAAATTGTTAAACTACATGTATGTATTTTTTTAGAAACGAACTTTTGTCATGTGAACTCTCAACTTTTCGTATCTATCTGATAGATCCTACATTATTTCGGACAGAAATCTGTATGCATGCTACAACTTGGGAAGAGCATCCGTTGCTTTCCTGTTTTCACAAAACAAACGAGAAACATTGAGAAGAAATTGCCAGGACTTTAACAACTAAGTTGCGCGGTCCATGAATAACAAGTATAGTAGCCATGGGAGATTTGTGAAGTGAATAATTTTCTAGTATTTGAAATAGTGCAGTTTATTTATTCATATTGTTTCAATGTTTGCTGGAATATATGCATAAAAATATTTTTGCAATACATTTGAATTTATTTTAAAGAAGAAACAAAGATTTACAAGCTCATGTCTGTTTGTTGGCAGCCGGTGTTTAAGCAATGCGTTGTCTGGAAAAAAAGAAGAAAACAGAAATTATATTTTTTTTACCGAAATTTGCAACAAGAACTCCTTTAATTGCAGATATCATTAAGATTTCATTGTAAAACTGAGAATGATGTCACGGTAACAGTGAATTTGCGGCAATAAAATTTAATGTAAAAGAGTAACTCCCTAAGCAAATACAAAGATCGATTTAATTAATTCAAATAAAGCATGCATTTCTTTTTAGTCATAAAAGCAATCAATAAACTGCATTTGTACAGATCGTCTACAGATGTGATTTTCAACGATGATTTCAAAGATAAAAGAATGTTTAAATATCTTTTTAAATAGATTTATTCTAACAATACTAAAGTATTATATCTCTGTAGCTGAATGCACATATTCAACAGTTTCATCACAGTTAAAAAAGTAAAAAATATCATTACATGTATTATAAATATTTGTATAACGAAGTTAATTTGATTAAAGACTGTAACAAGAAGTTAATTATGATTTAACTAAGAACCACTGAAGCTTGAAGTTCTCCTTATACATGTATATTGTGAAGTTTCTTTTACATTAGGAAAGAACAGGACTTAGTGCTGCACATGCCATTATTTTGCAACCATATATTATAAACAGGAAGTAGAACTTTTTCATTGAAACTGTATATGTTTCAGATTTGTCAGTGATAAATCACCATAAAAAAAGTATAAAATAAGTTACATGTCGGCCAATTATATTGTGTAGTACACACAATAAATAGAGGATAGTCAAGGTCTTTTTTCCTAAACATACGGAGTTTATTTTCATAAGATTTATTTCCAATTACTGCCACTCGTGAAATATGATAATTCTATATAACACAAAATGAAAATAAATCCGGTACATTTATATATAATTACAATTCGAAAGTCTTTCCCTGGAGTTTTGTGTAGTGGCTGAATTTAGAAGAAACTAGTCAGGCAAAACACCAATGAAAATACGGAAAATATGTTTCACTGCAGCGAAAAAAAAATTGACACTGAAAATACGGAAAATGAAAGTAATGTTATTTCATCAATATTTCTCATATTTTTATAAGAACATGTACATGTATATAATAATAAAATGATATATATGTACTTTTTTCAAATTCCAAATAGTAATGCAAGTAATGGTTCTGCCGCTCTCTTCATTATTTTTTGATGGTCTAAGGTTTTCATGCGACCAATGAAAATACTCCATACGAATGCATCCGTTTATACTTTCATTTTGGATTGAGATTTGACAAATCGGAAAAACGGTTCGTTAAAGTTTCATATGATGTTTTGATTGAACAGTTATTACAAATAATAATATAATTTTATCAGATTTATATGCACAATACAAAAAATATTCATTCATTTCGAATAAACTGTCGTTTAGTCGGGTAATTTTGACAAAAACCCAGCGGTCAGTTCTCTGTCGACTTACACTTGCGGTGACTTGAGTTAAAATATCTTCTTATAACTTGAAATGATTGTAAAGACAGCTTTATTTCCTTTAAGAGTAATCAATTCCCTACCATTTGGTACCAAGATATTGAAAATTGGTGAAAAAATGTTGGAGTTATGGAGTTCATATTAAGATGAGTGCTGAAAAATGAGCAGCGAGTTGCATACCTTTACTAAATATATATGCATCAATTTTTAATTTTTATTTTTGTGGGAAATGAAGGAAATTGAATAAAAAACATATACCAAATATAGAAACATGTTTCAAATGAAAAATACTGCAGTTTACATTGTTTGGAGCCGCCTCCGTGGTCGAGGGGTTAGAGTCGATGACTTCTAATCCAGTTACCTCTCTGGCGTGGGTTCGATCCCCGGGAGATGCTTTGGTAGTTTAGCGCGGAGGAAGGTAGTCTAGTACTGGTGTAACTCTCCAGGAACGATGGTTAGGAAACTATCCGCCTATATGACTGAAATACTGTTGGAAAAAGGCGTAAAATGAAATAAACAAACAAACAAACAAACATTGTTTGGAGAGGTAGGAGGGTTGTAGAGTAGGCGGGGGCGGGGGTAGTGACCAATCAACGCGCTTAACACATATGAATGAGATAATGGAGTATATACAAAAAAGCAAGTAAATTATGTTTTCATGTATGCATTACTTTTATGTATTGTTGGAAGGGGTGATACCGAACCTTTCAGAGAGTTGCAATGTATTTATAAAGTGCAAGTAATACTGCATTTATTTATTTATTTTAGTTTTGGGGACAGTTCAGTACTTGTTTCTTAAAAACACCTTTTTCCCCCTCAATCATAAGTATCTTGATGTTCCCATTTGTCTCTTTATTTCTTTATAACGGGTTGCACCTTAGTGATGAACAGCAACAAGCTAGTGTAACTTTTCCTTATTTTCCATATTTGTTACACAGAAAATTGATTATTTATTTGAAATTTGTAACGGTTATAATATTATACGAAAGATATACGGTCGTTCGGAATTAACAGATACTATGTTAGTGAGGAGTGGGAAAATATCTCATTTATTTTCCGTCGTATTTCTTTTCCCAAATCTAAATTGCTATAAAGATAGTATGTGAAAAAAAGAGTCACTGAATAAGGCTAAGGTATTTTTCATTTTAATTTTACTCAGTTTTTTCTCAATATTTCAATAGCGTTAAGTAGCATAATTATATAATATATAATTATATAGAGGATATTGAGTGTGTGTTGGTTCAATACAGACTTTTTTGAACGAGTTGAAATAGAATTATATTATGCGAGCCAATAATCACATTTTCAAAATAAAGACTATTCACAATGGACATTCTTTTCATTGGTAGCCTTATAGTTTAGCACGTCTTTAGTAGTTTTATACACACGGCTCCTGTCAATTTATGAAGTCATTTCATGTTTGCTTTTAAAAAGGGAAGTTTGCGGTATTATAAATTAGTTATAAAGATTCTTAACAGGTTATATGACCGTGTATAAACGTTTGTTTGAAATATATCTATACATTCAAAAAAAACGTTTATATAGGGCTACACAACCCTTCAAAAAATCTTTATAACTAATAATATAAACGTCACGACTTTCCTATGAAAAGCGACGTGCAGTATTACAAAACGCAAATGACGTCAAAATATAATTATGCAATATAAAATCGTGCGTCACAATATGTGATAAATAGTATTACTATTTGATTAATCAACGAGAAAAATACACTGATACTTATAGATGAGAGTATAGCTGTATATGAAGATATGTATACTACGAAATCAGTCATTAACCGAATGTAATATGTAAATTATTACTTGAACCTAGAACCTTTTTAATTTCCTTAAAATTTACATTTTTATCATTTTTTTTAAAAAAAATATTTGGAGGCATGTAGCTTTAAATGGTTACATTTTGTATTGAAAATGTTTATATTTGCTTTGTATTGGTTGAATAGTGGTCATATCCTGGCGTTTGGGTAGATTTTAGAATAACGACGTCTAGGCAGTTTTTCATAATGGTTGGATGTTGGATTTGGGTTGGAAGAACATTGAATTGCACTGAAAACTTGTTCAATTTAAGGTTGGGATTATGGCGTCTAAACCAACATAAATCCAACGTCAATCCGACGTTAGGTTAATCCGACGTCAATTGTTTTCCGTGTGTCCAAAACCAACAGAAATTGTTTCCTATTCTCTTTGACTTATATCAATTAATGTACACTCCAGCACACACACGATTTGAAAATGGTAATGGCCACTTTACGATGTTACGAATATTGGCTAGCTTGTCAAAATGTACGTTAAAAGAATAGCGTTAAAGAGAGAATTGCTTATACACTTATACACAGTTCTAAGATGTTGTTATAATTAATTTATATAAAAAGAAATCATACCTGTCCTTGTGTACCATGCAAATATCACTATAACCAATAGCGATTGAATAACAATGACGATTTTTGAACAATTGTTTTTAAAAAGCACCATATTGACCATATACATCCTCATAAGTTATCTCATAAATTTTGAATTTATAACAAGACTTGATTTATCAATAAAACGCTAACAGTAATCTTTTCTCCAATATTTAAAGTTTACATTGGTGGTAGCTTCAGTATTATATTACAAAACGGACAAAAGTCTTTCAAAATAAACGCGATTTCTTTTTAAAAAGAACACTTGAGCACGAACTCGGAGGTAAATATTATATATAATCATGCGATACAAATCTGCTTTATAATTGTTATTTCAACAGAAAAATAGTTTTTTTTTAATTTTTCTTTTTTTTCTATTTTTTTCTTTTTTGGTCAGTCGTAAGAGTATTTTCATTTCACTTTATTTCCCATTTTCATAGATTTTAAACATAACAGAAAAAATATAGTGTATAATTATACAATCACATTCATTACATGTTATACAATAATTCAAACATAGTAAATATAGGTCATGGTTTGCATCATAATATAATTACTGTATACATATTTACATTAATAAATACAGAAATAAATATAAATACAAAAAATACACACCTGCCTCATTTGTAACAAAAATGCTGTGAGATAGCATAGAACAACATAGGATCAAGTTCAATGTATCTGCATAGAAATATAAAGGAGTTAATGAATTATAATATACATAATATACAAAAAAGCAAGTTAATTATGTTAACCTATATGCATCATTTATTTATCTATTTACACTAATGTAATGTTTGAAAGGGTTTGAAGCCTTTTATGCCTATTGAGAAGACGAAGTCTTCACAAATACTAACCGGAACACATCGTTTATTATTTATAATAATCTCTGACTTAAGTAGTTCTACCACGTGGTTTTAGAGGATAACAAAAACAGAGGGTGTCATCTTTGATAATGTGTAACAAATGTATATGTTTGGCATCCAAAGGAAAATAAAAAAGCATATTTCGGTAAAAATATGATTGAAAAAATATGTCTGACAACCATAATCAATTTAAAAACAATCTATTATATATGTTCGTTCGTTTATAAATGTTTGATTCAGATCTACTTTATAATGGGTGGGGGAGGGGGTAGAATTAAATTTCAACGTATACATGTGTGGTATAGTTGTGGTCGAGGGGACTAGGCCTGAGTTTGAAGTAATTGAATATATAAATATGACTGTCACAATGAATGTGTATGTCCATTTTTTGTTAATTTCTTCCATTGGTATTTAGACATTTTCAAAACTGTAAAATTAACTTTCTATAATAACGCTTTTTCTTCACTTCTTCATTTCCGCAAGGAGAGATATTTTTGATACGGCACTAACATTTCTTCACCTCAAAGTAAAAATTTATTGGAGGACTTAGTAAAAATGGAAGCTCTTTTCATTGGAGGACTTAGTAAAAATGGAAGCTCTTTTCAATTGTTGTCTTGTATTTCATGCCAGTGTGTTATACTTTTCTAGCCCCTCGCGATCTTAAGTGTTGAAGATTAAATACAAATTAAGCAATTGATTTTGCACTTTTCGAACATTATCTCCCATGCAATTTTCAACTCTTTGTTTTTAACTTGTTGTTTTTAGCTCTACTACATGTAGCTAGTTGTGTCCAATGTTCGTTACATAGCGCTTTCTCCGGTATACATTTAGTGGTACTGATTTATATTACGTTGCCATTACTAGCTGATGATGTGTTGTGGTTTTGGACCAGTCATCTGCGCATAGATGTCGCTTAGCTCGTGTTTCAGTAACATATCTTTCTTTCTTTTCAGTATACCCGTGTATATTACAGTATATTAGCTTTGAGAGAAAATTTCTTTGTATTTTCAAGTGTGTCCCCAAAATGTTAAACAGTGTCGAATGACAATAAACAAAAAAGGTTATTATGCTGAGTGATGTATCTAGAAAGCTTTGTCAAAATTTCAATGCGCTTTCGTACATAAATACTTTAACATCACTACAGATAGCATCTACATGACAGTCGCAGCCTGCTGAACATTAAAAACACATTCTCATGAATAGAGAATCTATTAATAAAATAACCATGTAAAGGAACCACACACTTTTAAGAAAGCCTTTTGCTACGGTACATCAAGTTACTGATGTTGGTGTTGATTTTATATCAAACCTCACATGGACAGAATAAAAACTACGACCAATGAAATATTTTTTTAAAACTTAACTAACCAAAACTTATTGATGCAGCAGCATATAAATCCCTTTTAATGTTAATTATATAAAATGTACAAATTAAAGCAGCATGCCTCTAGATGTATGCTTATTTTCATGAAATTTAGAAAATGAAATTTAATCTACAACATACATATAATTATGTAGTTTATTAACCAAAAGGAAGCAATTTGCAAATTATCAATGGCACTTACAACCAACGTTAATTACAAAAAGTGGTCAAAATATGCAAAAAAAAAAAAAATGCACTTAATGCGTTTGTTATACGCAGTAGAAATATAGTTACACATAATGAAAAATCACCACTAATTGCTCATAACATGTAAATTATTACTTGAATCTTAATACTTTTCCTAAAATCTTAGTACATTTTCACAAGTTTGATTTATTGAATTATTTTTGCTCATCTAGAGGCATGCTGCTTATTGTGATAAATGGCCGTTTGAAATCATTGAAAAGCCTCCTGTTACAAGTTCAAACTGCTATGAAACTATGAAATATGCTTCAATACAGCGGGCACTTGGCATAAATGTTGACTGGACCATAGGCTCTGTAACAGCTTGCTCAATCGTAAGTTTCCTGTTACCATGACAACGGGGCACGTCTCAAAATTGCGAAAAAAATCACTATTTTGCATTGTTTTCTTTTTCCATCAAAACTGATTTCAAAGTGCAGCAAACTTCTCAATGAAAAGGGCTTTTCAGCGTCGGTTATACTAGTTAACCTAAGATCGACCTGAGTCTTAATTTTTAGCCTGTCACATGTCCAAAATTTTCTTGGCGATGAGGGTGACTGCCGCTCCCTTCAAAACCCCCAAACAGAAGGGGGCACATATCCCCCTTCTGGCAACCCCCTGAAGTACCATTTTCATGGGAAGAGAGGGGGGGGGGCGAAAAAAGTGGTCATTTTTTTTCACAACATTTCTCAAACAAGAAACAGTGTTTGGGGTCTACCAGGGCATTTTTTCAATGTTTGGGCCTCAAAATTGGGATGGGGAACCCTTCAAAACACGTCTATATTAGGGAATAGGCTAAGAAGAATTGTCTGTTGTAACCGTGCGGTTAGCTCAATAGGTCGGGCGTTGGAATGTGAATCGGGCGACCGCGTTTCAATTCCAAAACGGTGCAGGTCACTTTCGTTGTGATTTTGAAAATGAGTATGAAATCCTTTCTTCGGTAATTTCCACTGCTGTTCTGCTGTTATATATATATATGTAGATGTACTGTAGATCAAGTATATACATGTACATATGATTGAATTTAGAAATGTGTTGATATTCAGACAATATACATTTGTGAATACAATGATGTCTTACCAGAAAGAACTAAACTAATTTTAGAAATTTGTTTTTTTTAACTGACAATGTATCTTCATCAGAAAATGACCATTATGAGAATAAAATCTTGAAATCTTAAGTTCGGATTGTTTTGAGGTCGAAAAATCTGATGGACCGAAACATATTGTGATCGAAACGTCTAAAAATAAAGTCACATGACAGAGATATGGGCATGGATTCTGAAGTAATTGTGATATATCTGAATTTGAAACTTAAATATTTCTTAAAACCAGCATATGCTTCTTTAAATCTTTATTGAGTGAAAGATTAACAAGATCGTCCAGAGAGTATGCCCACAAATCAAATATTGTACAAATGTTCGGATAGGAGGTCATATTCGGATACGATTAAAAAACGCACACAAAATTGCCTTTAATAGTGCTTTTAATGAGGGTGGGTGGATGGTGAAGTGTTCACCATTAAATGATACACTTTAAGTATTTCACATAGACAAATGAATGTGCAGATCCAGTATACATGTAATTTTAATTTGGCATAAAATTTCAACAAGAGGATTAAAGTGTCAAAAGTCATGCTGTGTATTGTGTTTTAATATAGTACCCTGCTGATAAGAGAGCCCCTCAGGGTAAATAACAAAAGGCAGATGATAAATATAAATAGGCAATGTAAATTCTGTATTTTCTGTATGTTGGTGCAAATAAATTTCATTACAAACAAAAAGAAAACTGAAATATTTTGCATTTTACAATAAACTCATAAAAATAATCATATTGCATAATTATGTTACAATGCATGAAAAAAAAAAATTGGTGTTGTCTCAAAAATGGAATGGAAAGATTTTCTTATCTTTTTGTTAATATCCATGTCAGTTAAAGATACTAGTGTCCCAAAGGTACATATTAATACTTAATCCACACATATCAATCTCTACTTAATCCACATTTCATACATACCATCATTATACATAAATATTTATTTTCAGAATAATATATATCATTTATATTTATCTTGGGTAATTCTCAGTTTGAGAAGGTAAGAGAGGTTATAAATGAGATAGAATTGACAGAATTTAGGCCAATTATATACATATTAATTCTTTATTGTATAAAAGGCTATAAATGCTTAAAATCATTACCTTTAACTAAAAAAAAACATAAGTTAAGAAAAAAAATAACTAATAAAAAAAGTACAAAATCAGTAAAATTAATGACTTTGAAAAATTATTGTTCTAATATTTAACGCCATATTTTACAAAATCCAATATTCACAACTTCAAATTTATTATGAAAAACTATTATACAGATATCTATATTTATCTATCTTTTTGTAAAAGTCAAATTGCTATTCATTGAAATAAAAGGTAACTGTTATTACATATAATAGGTCTGGTGCACTACAAAGTGCACTTATAAAGTGCACTAGTAGTGCACATCTAGTGCACTCCTAGTGCACTTTGTGTAACTTTTAGTTTGAACTCAACTGTAGAGCATATTGCAAAGAATGGATTGACATTTACTATGAACAGTGACAGTGTCTTTTCTAAGACAAACAATTGTGGGATTCAAGCAATTTTCAAAGAATCCATGCATTGTTTAAACATGTCGAAAATCCAGCATCTACATTAATCAGGCTGGTGAAAATGACCGATCGGGCTTATGCCAGAAAAAAAAATCATGTTTCGAGAAAAGTAATATAGATATTTCTTTGAACTTTGTTTGTTTATTAAGAATAATATTTGAAATAAACAGGTAAAAAAATATTTGGCAAATGTCACTTTTGTGAGAATTATTTCCATTTTTCATGTTTTTTATAACACATAATTTTTGAAGGCCTTAAAAAATTTGTTACATCTGGGACCAAAGATAAGTTAAGGTCCCTGGTTACATGTACATATGCAAAGTTTAAAAAAATAGGTTGAATAACTTCTTTATGCTCTAATTCATTGTGCCAACACCTGTCAGCATTCATTGCATTCAGTTTTCAGAGAAAACTTCAAAGTATAATGTTCAGTACAAAATGTAAATGCCAGAAACAGAATATTTAATCCAAATATATAGAATAAAGGTATCAATACTGGCGCAATAATTTTGAGCAAAATGAAATTGTTGGACACATCTCGATCTTAATAGAATTTTACATTACAACATTTTTATGAACTTCAAACATTTTGTTTCCAGAAAATGGGATAAAGGGAAATAATTCAAAGAAACTAAAAAAAAAAACAAAATATTTTTATTTTGATTTGTATCATACATAATATCTTAATAAACTAAACAAATTAGAAAGAAACATGTTAATTATTTTTCTAGAAATATGATTTTTTATGTATTAAGACCGATAGGGCATTTTCACCAGCCTATTAAAGAACTTTTTAAAAAGTGTAAAATTACCAGTAGACATCCCCTTTGTGGCTGAGAGGTTGCTTTTAAGGGTTGAGGCATCAGAATGGCTGCGCCGTTTATCCTTGTGTTGATCTTAAGATATGACTGTTTGGGTTTGAATAACTGGAGTATATGTATACAATGTATGCATATTTTAGGTGGTTATGACCCCTGCCCAGGTGTTGCTTTATGTTTGGTAACTCCTGAGGTTAGCCAAAATCACCTTTCCTGTTTTGGCATCATATGACCTAAATTGTTGGTGCGCTGAAAATCTTATCAAACCAGTAGACCTGTTAGTTTTATTTACAACAGAATTTATAATTTTTGTTCAAAAAATACCAACAGTTAAACATTTGGGTGTTGATTAAATTGTTAACCAATTGCAGAGGAAAGACTAATACCGTAAAATTCCTATTAAACACCCCCTGGGGCTAAACATTTTCCAAAAGGGCGGCTATTCTTACAACAAAGTTTTTCCTTTCCTAAATCAAAAAATCATTGTAAATACATTTAGTGTTAGCAAGTGTTGGTAATAACATTAAAACGTGTTAAGATTTTAAAGTTCATACTATAAAATAAAATGGATTCTGAATGATTTGAATAAAATTATGGATTTGCTCATGAGTTCAGCACTGATGAGTAGATTGTTTTTCTTAACAAAAGGCCTGGGGGGCCTTTATTAGCGGAGGGGCATTTATATGGAATTTTACGGTATATTTCTTTTTTAAACCTGGCAAGTTTTTCATAGAGTTCTTGAGTCTAAATATTGCTGCTCTTTAATTAGTATTTCACTGAAAAATTGTATCTTTATTCCAAAATCATAGAGGAAAGTCACATGCTTACCAAATCTCAGGGGTTGGGGTCATGTCCCCATATGCTCACCCTTCCCTCTTTGGATCAGCATATGAATGCATCAGTGCATTACCAATTTGAATATAACATTCATTTGTGCATACTTATTGTTTTCAATGTTAACTTACATTTTATTGTCCCCCACCTTTTCGAAGAAAAAAGGGGGATATAGAAATAGGCTCTGTCCGTCCATCCCTCACACTTTCGTGTCCGGTCCATATCTTTGTCATTCATGAAAGGAATCTGAAATAACTTGGCATAAATGTTTGTTATAATAAGACGATGTGTCATGCGCAACAACCAGACCCCTACCTCCAGTGTCAAGGTTGCACTTGCTCATTCAAGGTCAACATTGTCTATTTGAGGGTATATGTCGTGTCCGGTCCATAACTTTCTAATCTTTGAAGGGATTTTGTAAATACTTGCCACAATTATTCACAATAATGAGACAATGTGTCATGCGCAACAACTGGTCACCTACCTCCAAGGTCAAGGTCACACTTGGAGGTCAAAGATTAACAAAGTCTGTTACAGGGTATATTTTGTGTCCGGTCCATAACTTTTTCATATATCAAAGGATTTTGTTAATACTTGCCACAAAAAGTCACTATAATAAGACGATGTGTCATGCGAAACACCTGTATCCCTACCTCCAGTTCAAGGTCACACTTAGAGGTCAAAAGTTAACATAGACTGTTTTAGGGTATATTTTGTGTCCGATCTAGAACTGCTTCGGGATTTTGAAATAACTATGCACAAATAGTCACAATAATAAAACAATATCTCATGTACAACACCTGCACCCCTACCTCCAAGGTCAAGGTCACACTGACTTAGAGGTCAAAGGTTAACAAGAGTCTGTTATATGGTATATTTTGTGTCCCATCCATAACTTCTTCATAGATGAAGGGATTTTGAAAATACTTGGCACAAATAGTCATTATGATAAGATGATATGTCTTGCATAACACATGTGTCCCTACCTCCAAGGTCAAGGTCACACTTAGAGGTCAAAGATTTACATAGTCTGTTATAGGGTATATTTTGTGTCCAGTCCATAACTTTTTCATAGATCAAGGGATTTTAAAAATACTTGGCACAAATAATCACAGTAATAAGACGATATGTCAGGCGCAAAACATGGGTCCCTACCTCCAAGGTCACACTTAGAGGTCAAAGATTAACATAGTCTGTTATAGGGTATATTTTGTGTCTGATCCATAACTTTTTTATTGTCCAAGGGGTTTTGAAAATACTTAGCACAAATAGTTACAATAATAAGACAATATGTCATGCACAACACCTGCACCCCTACTTCCAAGGTCAAGGTCACACTTGGTCAAAGCTTAACATGATAGATTTTTAAATTCTGTGTTTATTTTTATTTCTTCAATAAATTTTTGTTGCATTTGTAGATCTAGCATTGATCATAATGTATGACTGGAAGTCCTAAGATCCATACCTCAATCTTTTGAAATAGCACAATTTTATTCTTGATAAAACTTCCCCGAGGCATTGGTAACTCTGTTACAAATTCTTGTTAATTTATGTTTTTTTTCCATATCAGGACACAAAAGTTGAACAGGCTTGTCAAGCTGGTGAAGAATTCTCAAAGCTGTATTATGACACAATTGATAAAAAACGACATGTAAGTATACAGTTTTTTTTTCAAAATCTACAATATCACATACAACATTGGAATAACAATTAAAGTAAAATTCTAGAATACTAACTTTTACCTGTTTTTATAATTAATACAAATCTGTTAAATCTACATAGAATGCAAAGATCATTTGTACACAAAATACATAGACATGTAGGTATACATGTGTAAATGCTGCAAGAAGTGATACATGTACATGTTCTTACTTTAACTATGAAATCATTATCTTTATTATCTGTGAAGTGGTAACAATTTTTGGTTCTATTTCTTCGAGACCAGCATTTCAAACCAAATGGACAAGAATATTTGAAGTGTGTGGCAACTGATCTTATTAAATTTTCAGACTTTGCGGCAATTTGTGTATTGACAATGGAAGGTGCTGAGTGAAACGTCTGCAACAGTTCACTAGTGTACACAACAGTCATCGAATTTAGCACAGTGGCCCATGGACAGTGAAAAATAGTTCGGGCCAGTGAAAATTTTAAGAAAATTTAGTTAAATATATAGTAGAATAAATTCAAAACTGGAATTTGGGCTAGTAAATTCAAAATCTTAAATTCATTGACTGACACAATGTTTTCTTACCGGAGATTCTAGATTTGAAGACAACAAAGGCATTTCACAGAAAAGTTTATCCTGTCTTATTTTATCTCATTCATAATTTTATTCCTAATATAATGGCTTTTGTTGAATCAAAATCAGACAATGAATGTTCTAGATCAGATGATAATATCAGAACAAAGGACTTAGTTTCTAGTGGAATAAAGGACCTGCAGATTGATGATGATAGTATATGTATCAATGATGAGAATATATCTTCATCAGACAAGGATCAGGAAAGTTTAATAAAACAGTTTTATGATAGTTTGAAGGAGAAGGAAAATAGTGTTACATCAGTGACATCATTAGTTACTAAATCAGCTGTGAATGTGAATCATTTATTTACTGAACAGTTTATAGAATTACCTTTCAAAGGTTGGACAGCCTTACATTTTGTGTGTAAGAGAGATGGACAGTTTGGACATTCTCTTGTTAAATGTCTTCTAGACCTCGGAGCTGATCCTAAAATACAAACTAATAAAGGCGAGTCTGCGTTACTCATTGCTTGTAAACATGGGCATTATAGGTGTGTAGAAATATTACTACAGCATGATAATACCTTGAAAGATATGCAGAATAATCAAGGGATAACTTCCCTTATGAAGGCAGTGTACAGGTCAGATACCTCATTTAGAGAGAAAAGCTACATGAAAACTATTGATTCTCTCATTATGGCAGGCTGTGATGTTAATCTAAGTCCACCATCAAATATGACTCCTTTACATGTTGTTGCAGGGAAATGGCGTAGTACTGATTTAGTGAAGAAATTGATACATCACGGTGCTGATGTGAACATAAATACTGAAAAAAGTAGTCCTTTAATGACAGCTCTTTGTAGACAGAAAGTTAATACAGATACTGTGATAGCTTTGATTGATTTCTGGCGCTGATGTTAATTATAAAAATGACTACCACAAGTCAGTATTGCATGTTGCAGTGGCAAAAAGTGAAGATATTTGTGTGAAAAATTTGCTCAGTGCTGGTGCACTAGTGAATGTTCTAGATTTGGATGGCAATTCACCACTTTGGATAGCAGTGTCAGATAATAATGCTACTATCACAGAGATGTTACTGAAACATGGAGGTGATGTTAATTTTACCAATAGAGACTACAATATGTCATTGCTTTGTAAGGCTGCCTGTGATATTAATAATAAATTGTTCCGCCTTCTTCTAGATCATGATGCTGATGTTGATATAGCAACAAAAACTAGGTGCACCACCATTACATTATGCTGTAGACAATGGGGATATAGAGAAAGTGAAGCTTCTTTTAGCCAAGAACTGTGATTTACATGAATATTCCGCCTATAAAGATCTATACAATCCGATGAATGCATTACAAATAGCATTTACCCAAAATGATGAGCAGATGGTAAAGCTTTTAATGAGGGCAGGGCTTTCCTGTAGACGAACTTCAGATAAAATTAAGATATCTACCTAAAAGAATGAGAGAAAACGAAGAATTGATTGAATGGATATACAATTTCTTTTATTCCCCCAAATCACTCCAGCATATATGTCGTCTGAGACTGAGGAATGCATATGGCAGAAACATAGTACATGTTGTGAAAACTCTTGTTGAAGAGAACATTATTCCACAGAGAGTTGCTGATACTATCTTACTGAAGGATCTTCTCAGTCATGAGAGGAATAATCAAAAGGCCCTGTTTGATTTATATGATGAATAATCAGATAATCATTAAGAATTGAAAACATTTTGTTCATTGGAAAAATATCGGTAAAATGTACAATGCCAGTAACAATCAAAACATATGTGAAACTACAAAGAAAGTAAAAGAGACAGATGTCAATAATAAGCAATATCTAGGAGTGGAACATTAACAAATGTCATACATTGTAGCTGACTTATTCTATATTTTTATGAATATGCTATTCTGGTTGTTTCATAAGATTTGGACAGGACCTGACATAAAAAATAGTAAAAATAAGGATATAATTTTATAAAATGATGACATAGCCAGTTGTAAAACAGGCTGAAAAATATACAGGTGACAGACTATTCTTGTTTTCTGACATTAAAGTGAAACATTGTATCAATATCTGTAGATTCAATTTTGAAGCCCCCACAAAGTTGGGAGCATATAGCGTTGCACTTGTCCGTCCGTCCGTCCTGAAATCTTGTGAAAGCAACTCCTCTTAAACCGTATGGCAGATTTTGCTTAAACTTCCAGGGATGAACAACCTTAATGTGTAGATGGTAGTAAAGGAAGGAATTTTTCGCTGCGACCAAATTTAACAGAATAATGGCCGTTTGTTGATTTTTCCGCTATATACTATGTAGAAATTCTGTGAACGCAACTCCTCTTAAACCGGATGGCAGATTTTGCTTAAACTTCCAGGGATGAAGAACCTTAATGTGTAGATGGTAGTAAAGGAAGGAATTTTTGCTGCAACCAAATTTAACAGAATTATTGCCCTTTGTTAATTTTTTCACTATATACCATAAAGAAATTTTGTGAACGCAACTCCTCTTAAACCGGATGGCAGATTTAGCTTAAACTTCCAGGGAGGAACAACCTTAATGTGTAGATGGAAGTAAAGGAAGGAATTTTTGCTGTGACCAAATTTAACAGAATTATGGCCCTTTGTTGATTTTTTCACTATATACCATATAAATAATTGAACATATAAATTTTACATTTGTAATTTAATTTAACATGTACATAAGGTTACCTGTAGATCATTTTAGGTATATGTACATAAATGAAATAGTGGAATGAAAAAGTTCCACATAAAAATCTTACATACAGATATGCATGCTCTTGTTTACAAGCACATCTGCACAGTGGGAGCATCCGTGTCCTTTGGACACAGTTCTAGTCTTTAACAGTTTTTTGCATATTTTAGAATTCCTATTATGTGAAAATATACAGAGATTTCCATATAGCTAGATATTTTTTGCTAGATATTATTATTTGGATTTGTATGTAAGGGAATTTCCACAGCAAGGTTGTGAAATTGTAAGAGGGAAAAATATCTTTATTGTATTCAGTATTTGGATTTTTGTTTATGATAAGTTACATGTAGTTAGTAAAAACTATGTTTATTCTCAAATTATTCTGTATGCGGGTGTTTTGATATTTTAAATTTTTTTATCAAGAAATATTAATATCCAAGATTTTTAGTTTATGTAATGTAGTAAAGTACATGTATACGATAATGAATCAGGTATAGTATGCTATCAGTTTAGGTATATACATTTATAAATAGATATTTTGTTTTGTTTCGGTTGTTATGTCATTTTTATCACTTTTAACTCTTTGTTAGTAATGTCACTTAATTTGTTAGTAATGTCACTTTAAGTCATAATTATAATATAAATAGAGAATACATTCTATTACATAAATGTGCTATTTTAATCACTTGCATCATTTTAGTAAAGTTGCATCTCACAAACCTGTGATAGGGAATACAATTTAATGCAATTAGGGAACAATACAATCCAACAGAACAGAACATTCATGTAATTTCCTCTTTGTTCATTTTGTTAATTCTTACATGCTCTTATTTTACTATCACGCACTGAGAATAGTAGAGCATGTTGTCCTGTTGTTAGCTTTTGTTTTGTTTGCCTATGATAGTGAGTTTTTTCATATATATATATAGTTCTGTGAAACCAAAATGTTCTTGAAAATGAATTCAGTTGCTTAAGAACAACTGAGAAATTTAGTTTTGCTAAGTTTATGAAATTTGTTTTGAAGTTTTTCTTAAGTATTTAAGGCTGCCTTTATCTGCTCAATAAATATGTGATATTGCAATAGATTTTTAACTGATTTATGCATTAAACTGTTTTTTATAAATACAGTATACAGTGATTTATAAATATACATGTATGATAGTGATTTATAAATAAATTATACTTCAATAAATAAACGTCAGTTTATTAACATGTAACAATACTGATAAATGTTAATGGTTCAGCCTTGGGTATCTGACGATGATTATACTGTGCTTTTTTAATACATTATACAATGATATATAAATATACTCAAACACAAAAGAAACTGTGCAAAGAGTTTAGATTAATTTTGTCAGTATTTTTCCAACTGAAAATTCTTTATACCCAACAACAGCCAAAAAAAAAAATTAAACTGTTTCAACTTTTGAGAAATAAAGAACTGTTTTGACTTGTTTCTTAAAAGAAGTGACTAAAATTTTAAAGAAGTGACCGAAATTTAATCATATACATGTTAAAAAACTATAATCTCATGTGTAAGCTAACTTTTTAAATTTCATCAAATTTCTCATGATTTTGAATATTTTTTCCCAATTTACAAATGTATGCTGTGGGCCTTCTCCCAAAGTAGCTGGAATTGGCCCTGCATTTTAGCTTACCATAAAGCAACAATTATGTAACAAAC